GAGCCTTGCTCTGCAGATGGGGAGACACTGGTTCCAGCCCCAGCTCTGCACTTGGTCGCTGTGTCGTTCAGGGTCTGTCACTTTCCCCCGTGGAGACTCGGGTCTCAGGGGGACCCCTGAGGACGTGTGCTGAATGAGGGGCTCGGGATCCCAACGGCAAGGAACACGGAATGTCCCACTAGGTCAGGCTCACGTGTGGGGGCAGGGAGGGAGGTAGTCAGCCGAGGGCCAGGGCACCTGGGGACTTCGGGCTGAGGCCACACCCGGTGGCGTGTGCCCTCGGGGCCCTGGTCACCCTCTTGTAGAGCCCTTTTCCCTGGAGAACTCGCTATTGGATAAAGCCTCCCCCGGGGTTTTAGGGTCGATGCTGCTGGTAGCCGAGCCTGTGAACTTGTGTGGGCCACCAAGAACGATCAGAAGGAAGGAAGCCACTGGCGGTCCAGGCTCCATCTCCTCTTCCTGCCTGTGGGCCTGGGGGGTGGAGGGGGGGTGTGTATGGTTCCACAGCACCTGTGTAGACCAAGCCTGTTGGATGTTGTAACTACTTACATGACTTCCTACCCATGTGGCCAGTATCAGGGCCCCAGGAGAACTGAGAGGGGGTGCAGTATTATAGTGAAGATCATGAAGCCAGGCATTCCCTCCCCACCTCTCCCCTCCTCTCTCCTCCTTCGCTCCCCTTTCCTCTGCCTTCCTCTCCCCTCTCCTCTCCCTGTTCTCTCCTCTCCTCCCCCATCCTGTCTTTTCCCCTCCCCTGCTCCCTCCCCTCCCCTCTCCTCCTCCTCCAGGCCCCTGTAAGGGACCCAAGATCCACAACCACCTTCTCCCTCAGGGGCTGTGAGCAGCCGCTTAAGAAGCGCTTTCCGATTTCACTCTCCCTTTGTGGCCCTGGATTTCCGCCTGGGCATGCAGAGTGACCGGTTGCTACGCCCTCTCCACTCTGCCAACAAAAGCCAGCCTAATCCTGCCTTCCCTCGGCCCCTCCATCCTCGGAGGCCGGCTTTCTCCCCGCATCCTCCTCCCCTGCTCCAGCCAGGTGGCTGCTCTCAAAGCAGCAGGTAGGGCTTGGGCCAAGTTCGTCAGGGAGGCCTGGGGTGGCTGGGGAGGCAGAGCCTGGTGACCCCTGGCCCCTGGGCATGCCGTGTTGGCTCACCCATGGCTGCACTTGGAGTGCCCTGCCCCGTATCCCAGTGTGGAGTTTGTGAAGATGTGGTGGCTGCCAAGAGGAGGGAACAGCCAGGGACTCCAGGGTCCGAGTTCTGCCCCCAAACCCAGCACTGCTTCTCAGGGAGCCATCATCCCCCTCACCCGAGCCCTGAGAGCTCCCCGGGGAGGGATCCTGTACTTTCCAGCTGCCTGTGGGGCAGGTGAGAGCTCTGGCGCTGCAGTCGGCTCTGCCAGTTTGCATGAGTTGAAGCCATTGGTGCCTCTGTTTCACCAACTGAAAAGTGGGTACAAGAGTAGTAACCACCCATAGGGTCCGCATGCCTGTGCAGAGCTTAGGTCCGGGCCTGGCTGGCAGGAAGGGCCTAGCAAGGGCACAGCTGCTCCTTGAGGAAGTCTGTCTGGCTTCCTCTGTTGCCTGGAAACGGGACGCTCTGGGAGGAGAGGGTTGCTGGCAGGGTCCTCTAGGGAAGAAAGTGTCCTGACCTGGCGCTGTGATGCCAGGGTCGCAGGCAGTGCCCATGTGGGGATGGTGCACAAACTGTCCGCAAGGTTATGCTCCACGAATAACTGAGCATCTGCTCTGCGCCAGGCCCTGTCCCAAGGGCCAGGACACTGTGCCGACAAGACACAGGTGGCCGCTGTCCGCAAGGAGCTTACTTTGTGGCGGGGAAAGTCAGGCAGTGAGCATGTCACCAGTGGTCTCAGAGACACGTGTGCTGTGATCAGAAGAAAGCATAGTGATCAGGTGGGGACAATGGAGGGGAGGGGCTGCTTCAGGGAAGGTGTGGGAATGGCCCCACTCGAGAGCTGGCATCTGACTGAGACCTGAATGGGGATAAGGCCCTGGGCACAGCTAGGACAGGGTAAGCACACTCCAGAGAGCAAGTACAGCACGTGCCAAGGCCCTGGGGTCAGAAGCAGCTTGGCTCAGCCACGAGATAACAAGGCCAGTGGAGATTAGTGAAGTAAGTCACAAGTGGGAAGGGCCCAGCCAGTGTGGGTCAGTGGTTGAGCATCGGCCCAGGAGGTCACGGTTCAATTCCTAGTCAGGGCACATGCCTGGGTTATAAGCTCGATCCCCAATAGGGGGCATGCAGGAGGCAGCTGATCAATGATTCTCTCATCATTGATGTTTCTATCTCTCTCTCTTCCTCTCTCTGAAATCAATAAACAACTTTTTTTTTAAGTGGGAAGGGATGGAACTAGGGTGATGGGGTATGGGCAGGGGATAGATTTATGCAAAATCAGGAGTTCAGAGTTTATGCAAAGAGTAATAGGAAGTGAGTGGAGGGGTCTAGGCAGGGGGTCACGTGGTTAGAAGTCTCGCTTTTGGGTGGAGACTGGATGGAAAGGGAGTAAGATGGAGGCAGAGAGGCCAGAGAGAGAGGTGGTCCCAGAGAGGGAAGACGGCACCCAGCTCAGGGCAGCAGCGGCCGGGGTGGTAAGAAGCTGTTTGATTCGATATCATGTGGAGGTGAAGCCAAGGGCACTTGCTGGTGGGTGGGTCCATCCGGGTCACACCCTGAGAACAGCCACAGGGAGACGCTCCCTCCCAGCCCAGAGTCCAAGGTTGAGGTTATTGGGATGTGGCCCTGGAACCAGGGAATCCCCTTTCTTTGGAGCACTGCAAGGATCTGCAGTGGTGGCGGGCACTTCCCACAAATAAAACTGGTAAAAACAACTTACACAGGGGTATGTAGCGCACACACAGGGGCAGCTGGTCGGCAGGGCGTGTTACGGACGTAGGGACCCAGCAAAGCGCCCAGCACCCAGAAAGCGCAGGCCAGCAGTTACGGTCACCTGTGTGCACCTCACCTCGCTGCCTGGGCAAGGATGCCGAGAGCAAGCAGGGACTCGACACCCACTGATGGACATGATTCTTGGTAGCTTGAAAGTCTGGGGATCTGAGAACTACATTTTTTTTATCGTCCGTGTTATTTCTGAGGGGAGCCTAACATGCAGCTAGAGCCAGAAAAATACAGGTCGTTTTACCAGCTTCACAGACGTTCTGGAAAATGGCATCGTTCAGCCCCGATGAATGCAGTGGAAGTTCTTGTACAGAACGACTCAGTGCTGGGAAGGGGGAGCCCCCAGGCCCGCCCGCAGGGAATGAGGCGGTGGGCAGGTGGACCCTCGGAGCAGGAAATGTGCTGTACTTGCTGTTGTTGGTCTAGGACAGTGGTCGGCAAACCACAGCTCGCGAGCCACATGCTGCTCTTTGGCCCCGTGGCGTGGGCCACGAAGTTTCAATGGCACCATACATGGGCGCCTGCACGTGGTATTGTGTGGAAGAGCCACACTCAAGGGGCCAGTTTGCCGACCACGGGTCTAGGAAATTGAGACAGTTGTCCTCATAGACACACAAATGATGATTTTTTAAATTCGAACCTCCTCCCTCCCATCTCCTCTTTTACCTACTGTGGTCTCTTTCGTCACCCACTCATGATGCTGGGCATAGAAAATAGAAGAAAAAGCAAAAAACAATGCTGACGACACCTCCATGCTTCTTAACTCCAACACAGGGTTCAAAATGTGCATTTCAAGGACGGAGGCTGTGAAGGCAGGTTTGTTGGGTGGCCCGTGCGGACTTCCCTGTCGGGCAGCCAAGTGGGCGGGCACCCTTGCTCTCTGCCAGGCAGGCTCCTCCTCGGGCTGAGTGCGGGGCTGAAAGGCAAGGGCACCACGCTCCCCACCACCCTGGGTGCAGGCTCCATAAAACGTTGCTTGGTTTGAAAATCAGTTTCAAAACATTATACTAGAAACAAAATGAAATGTAAATAATTTAATTTAAAATATCACCATCGCACGAGTCTAATATTAATAGGTAACATCTATTGAATTCTTACTCGGTGGCAGATGCTGTTCTAAGTGCTTCACGTGTATTTACTCACTTAATCCGATGAGGAGGGAGCGTTATTGTCCCATTTCACAGATGAGGAACTCAAGGCCTAGGTGGTAAGCTGTCAAAGGTCATGCAGCCAGGGCAGGATTCTGTCTTAATGTCTTCTTGTTCCCAGCGCCTGGAACCCAGTAGGCACCCAGGGAACGTGTATACTCCTGGGATGTTGGCTGATCGACTGGTTGGTTAGTTGGGTGACTAGTTCTCTGAACTGGTGAAGCAGCACAATGGTTAGGGGCCCAGCACAGCCAGGTTCCAGTCTCAGCACAGTCACTTCTAGACTGTATGGCCTTGTGGAAATCACACCACCACCACCGCACCCCCATGCGCCTCAATTTTCCTCATTCGTAAGATGGACATGGGAGTCGCTCCACCTTGGGCTGCGGATTGAGGAGATAACATGCATGTAAAAACCTGGTGCGTGTAGGTGCTTAGCAACGGTTGCCGCGACGCTGAGTTCCAGCTGTCAGTGCAGCTTTGCCACCCAGTTGTAGGCATGGGACACCTGACGAGTCACCTGGACATCCGCTTGCAGGATTGCAGACGTGAGCTCACACTCCAGGCAGCAGCACAGACAGCCCTGTGGGCTGCGTGTCAGGCGCTGGAGACACCTCTGCGTAGGTCCCTCCAGATGCGAATGGAGTTGTTTCCATCCATCGGGGTAAGTGCATCCTCCTGCAGGCGCCCCGGCCCCACAGTCAGCTGTTCTCCAAGGGGCAGGACATGCACTTTGAGTAGAAAAACTGCTGCTGGCTTGTCTCGCTGTCGCCTATGAAAAGGGACCAAGGCGCAAGGGCCTGTGTTGGAGAAAGGTCTCCCAGGCCCGCATCCAGGACATCCCTCAGGGTCTGCTAACCAAGCATTGATGACAAGAATGCACCAGATTCTTCCTGCAGACTTTGAACAAGAAAATAACCCACCACATAAGGCCATCTTGCCAGTAACTGCCCAGTGGAGGAAGACTGACCCCCAGGACACGGCCTCAGACTTTGCAGCTCAGTGTGTGGCACTCAAGCAGGTGGTCCCTGGACCCACAGCAGGAGCATCTCCTGGGAGCTTGTTAGAAAAGCAAAATCTCAGACCCACCCCAGAACCTGCATTTCACCCCCATCTCCAGGAGACGCACCTGCAAGGCGGGAGGGGCACGCCTGTGGAGTGATGTCCTACGAGGGCCACCTGAGTTTAAACAATGCTCTGGGCACAAAGATCAGGGCGTGGTTGCTCTGCCTGAGCACGTCCCGGCTGCTTCCGGAAGGAAGTGTCCTTGGAGCCAGGTGGGCAGGTGCTTAAAGTGGAGAGGAGAACATTCCAGGCGATAGATGGGGGCAGCGGGGGATGAGTGATCAGTCGTGCAGATGTTAAAGAGCATGGGTGGGGGTGGCCCGGGGTTCAAGAACTGCCCATGGGAGATGCATTTCCCAAAACCTGGTCAGTGTTTTCTCCCCTGAGTGGGGGCTCCATTCCTCCACCCCTGGCTGTCCCCAGAGCCGACGGGCCCACACAGGACATCTCGGGCGCCTGTTCTCGTGAGTGCTGTGCAGTGGCCCTTGTTCCCTGTGATGGTGACCCTAGGTGAGATGTCGCAGCTCCGTGCCAGCGTTGTGCTGGGCACCTCCCTGCTTTATTTCGTTTATTCCTGACCGGGAATCAAGCCATGACCTCCTAAGCCACACAGGCTGGGCTGTTTCATTTATTCTTAAGGACAGCTCTCCAAGAAGGTTCCGGAGAGGCCGAGTGGTGATGCCTGGGTCCACCTCCCACCCTCGTTCCTCATTTGCAGTGTCCTTGGGAAAGTTACAGCTGATATATTTACCCACATCTCGAAGTTTCCCCTTCTGTAGAATCCTATCTAATAAAGAGGGAATATGCTAATTGACCCTCATGCCATCACAAAGATGGTGGCACCCACAGCCAATAAGGAGGGAATAAGCTAATTGACTGCCACACCCTCAAAGATGGTGGTGCCCACAGCCACAAGATGGTGGCACCCAGTCCCCTTTGCCACGCACCTGCCCTTGGAGTCCCCCAGTCTCCTCAGCCCCCCAGCCGCCCAGGGCCAGCCCGAGGCTCAGGTTACCAGGCCCAGCCGAGGCTTGCGCTGCTGGCAGTGGCAGCAGCAGAGGTGTGATGGGGCGTCACCTTCCCCTGATCACCGGGTTGCCTCCCGCCCCTGAGGGCTCCTGGACTATGAGAGGGGACAGGCTGGGCTGAGGGGCGCCCCCTCCAGTGCATGAATTTTCATGCACCAGACCTCTAATCTATATATATAAAAGTCTAAGCGACCATCGGATCGTTCGACTGTCCAACCGGTAGCTATGACGCACACTGACCACCAGGGGGCAGATGCTCAACGCAGGAGCTGCCGAGCGGCAGTGACTTGGCATTTTCGGTTCTGGGGTGACGCACCCTGAACCAGAGAGGAGGGAGCCCAATTCCAGGGTGCATCACCCGAGAACCGCCCTCTCGCAATCCGGGACCCCTCAGGGGATGTCGGAGAGCTGGTTTTGGCCCGATCCCCGCAGGCCAGGCCGAGGGACCCCACCTGTGCACAAATCTATGTACCGGGCCTCTAGTGGAAATAATAATAGGATGCATTTCTTAGGGTTGCTTTGAGGATTAACTACATCACAGCTAGTTGGTGCCTTGACATGTGGTAGGTGTTGCATGTGACAGCTGGTATTAGTCTTATTAGCCCCATTGAATAGAGGAGGAAACCGGGCTCTGAGAACTTCAGTGACTCCTCGAAGGTTAATTATACTCCACTCCCTGGACAAGGACCGCCCAGGGGCTGCCCTCTCCCTCACTTAGCTGGGAGACCCTTACTTCTGCCCACAATCCCCTCCTCTAGCCCCGTGCCCTTACTTCCCGTCCATCTCCGCTCCCACCAGCAGAAAACATGTCGCCTCTGGTGTGAGCCTCTGAGCCTGTTACTGCCACCGCACCTCACTTTACCTGCTTCTGACATTCATTACGGACCTTGAATCACGAGTGGTTGTCACGGTATCTGCTTTCTCATGAGTGGCCTCCTGGGAGTGTGGCGGGCCCTTGGCAGGCACAGGGAAGGCCTTGGACTGCAGGGCGGGGACGGGCCTTCCCTGGCGTGGGGACCCGCCCTCTCAGGACCCTGTTCCTGGCCTGGAGCTTTTGGTGTCTCTCCATTCAGCTCAGGTTTCTCAGCCTCGGCATTGCTCCCACGCGGGGCCGGAGAATTTCTCGTTGAGCCGGCTGTTTGGTACACTGTAGGATGTTTAGCAGCATCCCTGGCCTGGACTCACTAGATGCCAGTGGTACCCCCTCCCTGATGTTGGCCACCAAAAATGTTTCCAGGCATGACCGAATGTCCCCTGGAACAAAACTGCCCCCAAGTTGAGAACCACTGATAACCAGAATTTCCCCCCAGTGACCAGGATGGGAGGGGTGACTTCATCATGGGAGGCTGTGTGTGTGTGGCGGCGGGCAGGGGAGGCCGCATGCAGGGAGCTCACACAGGCCAGGGAGGGTGCCGAGGCTGGTGGATGAGAGGGGGCGGGCCTCGCTCCTGCCGGCATTGCTGGGGGAAAATGTGGTCCAGCTTTTGCCAGATCTTGAAAGTGTTCACAAGGAGCCAGGAATCCCGTCTTTTATGTGAAATCCCCTGGTTCTTAAATGTTGGCAACTCGTGTGAATTTTTAAAAACACTGTGGGAAAAACAAAATATGCCTGTGAGCCAAACGTGGGCTGCCGTCTGCCAGTATTGCAACCTTTCCTGTACACCCACTTCCACCCTAGAGGCGGCTCACCGTCCCGGAGCCCGCAGTCCTCATTCTCTTTGCAATGGTTTGCGCCTTAGAAACCATGAACAAGCCCTGGGCGAGGCCTCTGAACCCGACAGTGCCTGCCCATGTGGGCCACTCGGTCCCCCGCCTGAGGCCCAATTCGAAGAAGTCTGAGGGCTCTGAATTCCTAAGGGAGAGAGAATCCGGGAAGTGCCCAGGAAGGGCTGAAGAAGCCCGAGCTTGTGCCAGCACGGGCATCGGTTTCCTGTGTGACCTCGGGCAGTCGCTCCCCCTCTCTGGGCCTCAGTCTCCTCCTTCGTCAGACGTGTGCAGGATGAAGAAAGAGAAAGGACTTTGAAAGCATGGTCTCTGCTCCTGGAACTTGGGCGAGCATTTCCCCTTGGCAGTGCCGAGCGCCAACTGGCTTGCCCAGTGCCCGGCGGGCATCCTTGTCCTCACACTGACCTGGGCAGGGACACGCTGGCTCCGCCTCGCAGCTCAGGCCCGGCATCTCAGAGTGCGGAGTCTGGGCCGTCCCTGACGGACTCTCTCCTCTGAACAATGAGGTTGTTGGTGCTGGAGGCTGCTCCAGGGGTAGAACAGACACCCACATCTCCTGACTCCCCGTCCAGTGCTCCTCTGACCTAATACATTGGCATCTCCCAAGAGTGGGCACTAGTGAGATGTGCAAGAGAAACAGATAGACAGATGGACCCTGGACTGCACTGACTCTGCCTGGAGCCACGTGTGGCCTGAGGACAACGGGGTGAACTCGGTGCCTGGAGCACCCAGGCGGGTCACCTACCTGAGCGAGGGAGGCAGGGGGAGACAGGGGGACAGTGGGCATGACAGGGTGGGGGGCACACTGTTACCATGTACAATGGAATTGGGGTTCGCAATTTCCAGACCTTCTGATTTTTCTGAAATAAAGCTATCTGAATTTTTTGGTGTAAATTATCCTCACTTTCAAGTGTTGGCAGCTCGTTTTTTAAATATTTTTAAATAGAGTGCGAAGAAAAGAAAACACGTTTGCAAACCATATTTGGCTCTAGGGCCACCAGTTTGCAACCTCTGCTCCCTTCTCTTATCCTCAGTTTACTCTGCTTTAAAATGGGTATAGCAGTACCCCTCTCACATAGGGCAGTTGAGTGATTAAATGAGACGATGCCACTAGAGGGCCTACCGTACCTCGGGGCCCACAGTACATGGTAGCTATTGCTATTTATTAAGATGGGGGATACTTAGGAGAAATGGGAAGGGGCTTGTTAAGGTTAGCACAGGGCAGCTGGGAAGCCCTGAGCCAGAACTCGGGGCCTTTCCATCCATCCACACATTTGAGGGTGCGCTTGCTGCACGCCTGGCCCCGCGGGCATATGTCAGTTTAAGACCCGTCCCTGCCTTGAATTTACAGGGGGGCAGGATTAGGCCCATCCAGCAGCTCAAGCGGCTGTCCTTCACCCCAGGAGCCCCCGAGTGCCCCTCCACGGGGCCCTGATTTGGGAGAAACAATCCATTTTCAAAGGTCAGGTTTTAACACAAGGCTGGAGCTCCTTTCATATTTGGCAAAACACATTTTTGCTTGTTTGTTTTAATGAGCAGCTTCAGGGGAAGGTGCCAGCCCTTCCTACGTGTCTGTTTCACAAGTCTGCCTCCTGAAACCAGTTCCAAAGATATTTAAAGGACGACTCTGGGAAACGAAGGCGTTACAGCAGATTCTAATTAGTCCCGTTGGGACTCGCGGCCGCTGCAGACATCTGCCCCGAGGACGGAGCTAGGGCCTCGGGTTGCCTCCTGATGGCCACAGCGCAGAACGCTCTGCCTTCCTCCCGGGCCTGGCCCACGCTGGGCAACTGGAGGCAGGCCGGCCGCCCGGCCTTGCTGGGGGCCTTGCAGCCACAGAACCCCTCGTTGCCGGTGTGGTGAGGATGGAGGCCCCTCATTGCCGGTGTGGTGAGGACGGAGGCCCCTGTGCTCCGCCTTCGGAGCTGGAGAAGCCGGAGTCCCTCTGGCTGACATGCCCAGTCCTGGTGGGCGGGCGGACGGGCAGGTAACTCCTAATTATGGGAAAGCAGCCGCAGGCCTGTGTGGACAGGCCTCCCGGAGCCCAGGCAGGTGGCCTCCTGACAGAGGAGGGCCTGGTGTTTGGACTCTGGGTGCAGGAAGCCATCGGGGTGGGGGAGGGGAGTTATGTAACTGTGACGCCACGGCCACTGAGAGAGTGACCTTGCTACGCTCCACTGCCTCGTTCCTCCCACTCAGAAGGGCATGGAGACCTAGCAGCCCTTCCTTTAGGCAATGGCAGTGGCCCCTCAACTTGGTCAGCATCAGGGGTACCTGGAGGGATGTTAAAACAGACTGTCAGACCCCCCCCCCCAACCCCCCGAGTTTCTGCCTCAGGAGGTGGGGGTGGTGCAGAGAATTGGCATTTCTCCTAAAAGCACAGGATGCTGCTGGACACAGTTAGTCCCCAGGCCACTCTGAGCCCCACTGCTCCGGGGTTTATGAAGTCAGTCTGCCTGGGCCCTGGAAATGCTGTGTGCCCCTGGGCCAGTGTCTGGGCCTCTCTGAACTGGTTTTCTCAGAAGGAGAAGCCAGCTTTGTCTTTGAACAAGGCCCTCCCTCTGCCCCCGCCCCTCGTGTTGACATGCCTAATTACTGTTTGCAGGTAGCTCAGAGGCCTTCACAGGAAAGGCCCAGGCCTTTGCACGGGGCTCTTACCCCATGGTTCCAACCTGCTTGTAGTCGCCGTGGGAGCTGAGGGGCTCGAGGAGAGATGAGCACTTTAAGCCTTAAGGGGACAAGCCAGGCCAGTATCTCTGGGCATCAGCACTCACCCTGTATGCAAGAATCTTGAAGCAGTTCATGAGCCTGGTCTTTGGGATCATTTTCTTCCCTTGCAGGGGGTGGGTGGCAGAGGCTCACCACAGTCCCAACGACGAGGCACCTGTGGCCCGGAGAGTATAACCCCTGTCACACATCTGCCAGTAGCTCCTTCTCATCTTAGCATCCCCGTGCATTGAGCTTCCTACACGCTGGGGTCCTTCCCCGCAGTATCGAGGACAGGACTCCTGGGGGATGCCGAGTGCAGACCAACCAAATGAAATAAACAAATGAACAAATGGCTCCATTACTAAACAGCCCCAAAGCCTGGCTGGCTGGCTGTCTTGCCCCCCGCAATCATGTGGTTCCCATCTATGGCCTCCTTCGCTCCTCATAGAACAGTCTTGGGGAGATAGGCAAGTATTCTTATACTCATTTCACAGGTGGGGAAACTGAGGCCCCAGGAAGGTGCCTGACTTGCCCAACTTGACTAGTAAGTAAAAGGCAGTAACAAAGAACAGTACAGAACTCCATGCCTCGGAGCCTCACAGCGGCCTCTCCCAGTCTCACCAGTTTCGCATTCCATGTCTGTGTGAGCGCCATCCTGCAGGTAGTGGCAGTGCGGATGGAGTTGGGAGAGAGGTGAGCTAGGGACCCAGGCCCTTTTGGTTCCTGGGGCGAGGGGGGGGGGGCAGGGCCAGCAGGGAGGCACAGAGGAGCACTGGAAATAGTCTCTCCTTTGCAGAGATTGCCAGTATTTTCCAGGGGCTGCCTCAGGCCCTCTCGGGGTCACATGCTGGCACACCACAGGTGCCCTTGGCAGGCTAGACTGCACGGTGGTTTGCCTCCAAAGCCCAGGACGGTTCCTGGCACATGGTTGGTGTACAATCAGTATTTGTTGAATTAATGAATGAATAAATGAAGATGGACTTGGTTGACAGTACTTCGTCTAAACTTACCAGCTGTGTGATCTTAGACAAATCCTTTCACCAGTCCACGCCTGGGATTCTTCAACTGCAAAAGCAGAATAATAATGTTATAATAATAAACATTAATGGCATAATAATTAAAACAACAACAACAAAACAAAAAAAACAGGCTCTGGAGCCAGAACTGCCTGCGTCTGAATCCTGGCTCCACCGTCTACTGCTGTGTGACCTCAGCCAACCTACTAAACCTCTCTGTTCCTTGGTTTCCTCGTTGATAGAGGGAGGGTAATGATGGTACTCCTAGAGTATTGTGGGGATTAAAATGAGCAGTATGTGTAGATGCTCTACCCAATATTATTACTAACCCTTAATGATGGTGATTCCTTCTATGTGCTTCGGTAAATTAAATAACATTTAAATATCAAATACCAAGCAGAGTGCCTGTCACAAAGGCAGAACTAACTAGTAACCATTATTCTTTTTAAAAAATATATATTTTATTGATTTTTTACAGAGAGGAAGGGAGAAGGATAGTTAGAAACATTAATGAGAGAGAAACATTGATCAGCTGCCTCCTGCACACCCCCTACTGGGGATGTGCCCGCAACCAAGGTACATGCCCTTGACCGAAATTGAACCTGGGACCCTTAAGTCTGCAGGCCGAGGCTCTATCCCAGGGGTGGGCAAACTTTTTGACTCGAGGGCCACAATGGGTTCTTAAACTGGACGGGAGGGCCGGAACAAAAGCATGGATGGAGTGTTTGTGTGAACTAATATAAATTCAAAGTAAACATCATTACATAAAAGGGTACGGTCTTTTTTTTTTTTAGTTTTATTTATTTCAAAGGGGCCGGATCTGGCCTGTGGGCCGTAGTTTGCCCACGGCTGCTCTATCCACTGAGCCAAACCGGTTAGGGCACCATTATTCTTACCTTGGACACTAAATCATTACTAAACAGGGCCTGAAGCCTCTGTCTGTCTGTCTGCCTGCCTGCCTGGCCCTATGACCTATGGCCCTTTGTGTCTGTTGAGTCACACAAAGGAGACAAAAGGTCTTAAAATTGCTGTGGGGGACATTCTTCATTCCTGGAAGCCACCAACTCAGGGTTAAAGGGCCCCAGATGAGAAAGGTGAAGTACTACCCGTGGCCACCAGGGGCAGCAGAGAACCCATCCTCAAGGCTGCCTGCTGAGGGTTCCTGGAGTCCCCTCTTTAGGAAATAATGAAAAATGGGCTGGCTATTCCACCCGGCCACAGGCAGGCATTCCCCGTAGCCCTGACATGAGAGGCATTTCCCAGAGAACACCCCTCCCTCCTGAGGGTTAGACTCCCAACCCTACCTTTAAGCCACATCATCTTGGTTAAGTCCCTTTGTCTCCTTAAACTCAGTTTTCTCATCTGAGACTTGGGGATAGGGTGATTTTGAGGGTTGAATGAGCTAGAAAACACGGTCCCTGGGGCAAAGTGAGTGCTCAGTTAATGACACCTGTTACCAAGGTAGCATCGTGGTTATTAGCATGGACTCTGCAGCCTGACGATATAAGCTTCAGTCCTGCCTGCACCACGCACCGGCTGGGTGTCTTTGGGGAAGTGACTTGACTTCTCTGTGTCTGTTTTCTCACCTGTAAAATGGGGTGATGATCACAGTACATGAGCCTCTCAGAGTTGTTGGGAAGATTAAATGAACGTGCAAATCAGTGTAGCAAATGCTATGTCAGTGTTTGCCAGTATCGGTATTATAAGTTGTAGTATTTTTGATGTTACTGTTTTTATTCTGAATAAGCTGCAACACCTTAACTTCCTGCAGAAACCTCACTGCTTGACATGAACTGCCCAAAAAGGGGCTTAGAAGAAACAGGAGAGGTGTGGCCCGTGGATAAGGAAGGACGTTTTCCTTTGCTGCACTTGAGCATCTGACTTGGCACACAGACGGCCTGGCAGGCGGGCGAGAGACCAACCGCACTCCGTGAAAATGCTTTGATGCTCAGCTCGGGGCTAAGCCTCTGCCTCCAGGGCAGGGCCTTTGGAAGCCCCCAAAGGGGATCAGGATCTTTGCCAGATCCTTTGGGGTCCCCGAGAGATCGTCAAAGCAGACCTGTGAGCCGGTGACAGGCGCACAAAAGTCTCCAGCCAGGAAGGCCTCGCCAGGACAGATGGCAGGATGGACCCTGGATAAAACCCTCCGTCCCCCCAGGGCAAAGGTCTAAGTGGCTTTGGAGAAAACCCCAGTCTAATCCTTCTTGCTGCACCTGTGCCCCAGAGTCCTACTGGGATGGCCAGGGGAGATCAGCAGGTGGCCTCGGCCACAAAGGCATCCCAGGGCCGGCCAGAGGACTTCCAAGTCACTTTGGAGTCCCCAGGAATGGATCGAAGGCAGCAGATGTCCATGGTGATAGCAGGAGGTGTGTGTCTGGCTTAGAAGCAATGGGCCTGTCACTCGGACCTTCTCCAACAATGTCCCTCGTGCCTATTTTTTGAGGGTTTACCCTGAGCTAGGCACCATTCAGACCTCTACATGTGCCTCTTGTCATCAAAACCTCCCACCACAACCCTACAAGGTGGTAGCCACGATCACCTCCATTTTACAGGTAAAAGGCCCGAGGCTGCCAGGAGCAAAATCATCTGTCCAAGATCCAGGGTTTCCCCAGAGTCCTACTGGGATGGCCAGGGGAGATCAGCAGGTGGCCTCGGCCACAAAGGCATCCCAGGGCTGGCCAGAGGACTTCCAAGTCACTTTGGAGTCCCCAGGAACGGATCAAAGGCAGCAGATGTCCATGGTGATAGCAGGAGTCTGGCTTAGAAGCGATGGGCGTGTCACTCGGACCTTCTCCAACAATATCCCTCGCGCCTATTTTTTGAGGGTTTACCCTGTGCTAGGCACCATTCAGACCTCTACATGTGCCTCTTGTCATCAAAACCTCCCACCACAACCCTACAAGGTGGTAGCCACGATCACCTCCATTTTATAGGTAAAAGGCCCGAGGCTGCCAGGAGCAAAATCATCTGTCCAAGATCCAGGGTTTGAGCCCCAGAGAATGAGTCCCCAGCCGCCTAGGGCAGCAGCCTCCAAGGCCCTGGGCGATGACTGCCTCCTGGATTCACACCTTCCTGTAATCTCTCCAAAGAGTGAGGGAGGGACCGAGGGACCGAGTGACTCACTTCTGAGGAATAGAAAGGGGAATGGTGATGGATGTCTTTTCTGAGTCAGGTTACAAAGAGACAGCGGCTTCGCCCTCTCTGCACACACCCCACACGAGCCCCCTGGCAGACACAGGCTGCCAGTTGTGTGTAGATCTATAGCTCCACGGCGCAGAACCGACGGCAGCCTCTGGCCAACAGCCAGGGAGGAGCTGAGGTTCCCAGTGCGCCACCCCACGAGGAACTGAATCTTGCCAAGAGCCCCAGGAATGAGCTTGGGAGTAGACCCTCCCCAATTCCAGCCCCGAGGTGACTGCAGCCCTGGCTGACACCATGGCGACAGCCCATGAGAGGCCCTGAGCCAGAGGCGCCCAGCTCAGCCACCCTGGATTCCTGGTCCACAGAAACGAGAGAGAATAAACGCTGGTGTTTGGAGCCACTGAGGTTTGAGGTGATTTGATGCGCAGCGATAGGTAACTAATACACTTGCCATCACTACTAGCAACACACACAAAACATGCCCACACAACCACCATGGGAGGATGAAAAAGCCCGGCTCTCCCAGCTCACACCCGCTGGCCCGGCCCTCCACGTGCATTTGCCGCTGATGGCACTCAGATGCGTGGACAGAAAGGGTCTTTGCGAAGATCACACACAAGCTTGGGGGGGCCTGGTGTTGCTGTGGGGGGCTCTCCAGGCTCCTGGAAACTGTTGCCAGGAGTTCACAAGGATGTTAACCCGCAAAACTGTGCGTCCTGGGGACCCGAGTTGCTACCTTGTCTTTGATTCAGGTGCTTGCAGAGAGTAGAGTGATGCTGGCTGGAAAGTCTCAGCAAAACTGCTTTTACACATACTAAACCCACAGCCAAGAAGAAGAAAAAACGTGAAAAATTCCAGTGGGCTCACCTGTTTGGCTGCAAGCAGGTACTAAATATAGTGGGTTCCTCTAATGCAGCGTGTCTGGGGTTTGTTCCTGAAGCCATACGTTTGTTGTCATTTTCTCCTGTCATCTAAAGGAAGCTCCCCTGGGAACGGGAACTGCACTGACCCCTTGTGTTTTCTTTGGTGGCACCCTGGTGGCCTGAGGTCAGGGTCATGGGGACAGGGTCTGGCCTCAGAGCTCAGATGCAGAGCAGCCTCCCTACCCTCTGCTGGACTGCCCATCCTCCCCGCACCCCTGCCCCCTGAATTCCCAGTAAGCTTCTGCTTCCTGCAATGACGTCCCGAGGACTGGATGGGGACAGTTCCTGCAGCCTTTCCCCACGCCCAAGTCCTCCCTTCCTGCTGCCTCGCAGAGTCCGCACCCTGTGTGCCCCGGAGAAGGGGACGGTGAGCCAGATCCCAGGCCCAGCTGTCTCCAGCATCGATTCCCAGCATCCCTCGGAGGCTGGGAAAATCTTCTGGGAGTTGGACCAACTACATAATTGGCGGATGCCAATGCAAATTGGACGTGCAAGGAGTCCCCCAGTTAAAAAATAATTAAGAATTTTAAGGCGATGACAGCAGAGCATTAACTCGGGCACAGGGCCCTTCTGCTCAGAAGCTGGCCTGGACTTAGGGTCTCCACTAAACCCACCCTGAGTTATCCTTCCTGGAGGGCCTGCCCAAGCTGCTCTGGGCAAAAAGTGGGCTGTCATTTCTTGGCTCCCGGATTTCCTGGTGCAGAACTGAGCAGAAACGTGGCCCTGGCCCAGGGTGTCCTCAGAATCAGAAGTATACCTGTGTGTGGGGACACAGCACGCATCCAGGCCAAACTCTGCTGAGTAAGGAGAGCAATGGAAATTCGCCAGGGCTGTGGGCTTGACAAACGGCTCGGATTGTTGGAATGCAAGTCGAAAGCATGAGCAGACTTCTAAGAGGCTGCAGAGGGACCGATAAGGGTAGCAGTGAAATGAGCACTGGTGGCCAATGGGCTGGATAGAAACTTCTAGACGTACGTACTTTGTTGGTCTTTCTCCTCCCTCTCCTCTTTCTTCTTCTTAAGGTTTTTTTTTTTAAAGAGTTGCCAAGAATTTAAACTTAGAGTTCACATAAAAATTCATATTCCTAGTAGCTCTAAAAGCAAATGAGAACCTCTGGTAACACTAGAGCCATATTCCTGCATGACAACAACCTACTCCTAGACATACATACTTTGTTGGTTTTTCTCCTCCCTCTCCTTTTCCCTCTTCTCTTTCTTCTTCTTAAGGTTTTTTTTTTTAAAAAAGAGTTGCCAAGAATTTAAACTTAGAGTTCACATAAAAATTCATATTCCTAGTAGCTCTAAAAACAAATGAGAACCTGTGGTAACACTAAAGCCATATTCCTGCATGACAACAACCTACTGCCTCCTCTACAGGGGCTGGTGGCCTCTTGTTTGCCACAGTCTCCACCACTCCCTAACGTCTCCCTGACACAGAATCCAAGTGCCAAGTGCTGCGTATCTGTGCCTGTGCTGCTGTTTTCTTGTCATGGAGTTAGGAGGAAAGCGCATGTCTGTATCAAAAGTGAGAAGATAGAAGGCGGACCAAGAGTTCCATGTTCTTCGAGAAATGTGGGAAGGAGCACGTTCCTTGGAAGTGAAGAGCCCCTTAGAGCAAAGAGGATCTAAGTCAACGTTCTTACGGAACAAACCACAGCAGGCCCCGCACAGCCCACCTCACTCATTCATGTCCCCGGGTGGGTCCCTGAAGGCATCAAAACAGAGGCTCCGGGGCTGGATGGCTCCAGAATCTGAGGGCAGCCCCAGCTTCTCCACCCACCGGGGCTCAGAGCCCTCCCTCTTTTGTTCTGTCCTGCCTTTTATCCCAGCAAAGGCCATGGACTTGGGGGATTCCCAGCATTTCCTCTCACTTGCCGTGGGGTCAGTTTCTTTCCCCCAGAGTGGGTGGGTGTTTCACCTCACGGGTAGTTTTCGTCCTCAGCTGGGAGCATCGTCAGCATTTGGCACGCTGGCCAGCCCTCCCCTGGGCAGTCAGGGTTCCAGGTAGGGGAAGGAGGTCTGAGGCTGCCCTGTGGCCTCCACAGCTGACCAGTCTGACCGGCATTTGGAGTGTGTGTGGGGGGCGGGGAGGGAAGGGGGAGATGTGGAGGTGGAAGCTGGGAAAGTCAGGCCATAGAGAGTGTGAACAGGACAGGAAAGTGACAAAGTGAAAGGTTGGGGAGACCTGGTAGGGAAAGTAATTCAGTTCCCACAGCTTATTGTAGAGCCACGCACCGATGACCTAGAACTTCCGAGAGCTCAGGCCTGGGCCAGTGTGAGCCATGGGTTACCAACTAGGCCTGGGAAGGGTGGGGTGCATGCGGCCTAGAATGGGAGGCTCAGGTGCCCTGATTGTGTGACGCCTCACCTGGCCTTGTATCCTCGGCACCTTGTGTCTACAGTCGGGTGGGGGGGACCAGACTGCCTCCGGGGGCCTTGGGAGATAATCAGTTCTAAAGAGTACCTAATCCCTAGATCAGAGGGGGCTCAGAGCTGCAAACTCACTTGACAGCGAGTGAGCATTGCTAGCCACCGGCGCACCCACTCCAGTAGAAAGTTTCGGGTTTTTAGACCCTCCAGGGTGCCGCCTTCTACAGAGCTTAGCTGGCCTGGTACCTGGCCTTCCACCTGCTCCCGAAGTCCAGGCCCTGGCCTCCCCTGGGAACCACCTCGCCTGCCACAAGGCTGCCTTAGAGAGGACTCTATAAGCAGCACCGATGATGGATGGAGGTGGAAATCACTATTACCCCATTTTCTAGATGAGGAAACCGAGGCTTGAGGGAGTGAGGTGCAGCCACAGGGTTCCCGCCCCGGATCACAGTCTCCTCGTGGGTAAGGACCATGTCAGTTTTCTCTCCCACGCCCACAGCGAATGCCCTCAGCATTATATTCACTTACAGAACTGTTACACTGTACAGGTGACTGAGGCTCATGTCCCAGGGCACCCACCCCGTCCCTGCCCACTCTTGCTGCCCTCTCCCGGCCAGTTGCTGGGACTGCAGTCCTTCAGCGAGGCTGTCACAAGGGTGTCAGAAGGGTGCGGAGAGGCCCGCAGACTGGGGGCCATCCCCTCCATGCGCTCGCTCCCTTGGGGCTTTTCAGACCTGGGTTCAGTACTGTCCGACCCGGTGACACCGGCCATCTTTCTACCGTCAGTTTCTCCAGGAAGGAACACGGTGGGGATGCACCGAGTGGCCTGGATCTGGCGCGCAACGGGGCGACGCGGAGCTC